ACATTTAACGTAATATTTATTTGTGGTTTTTTTCCCACTCAGGCCTACTTTTCTCGCGAATTTTGTCGATGCCGTTCCATCTCCATCTTGTCTGTTATGTCTCTCACAACCTGATGCCGCGGCCCTGTCCCTTCATACAGTCAATTTTGCCTTGTCTGAATTCTGGCAACACGCTCCCGAACTTTATTTCATTCGCATCGAATCAGCATTTTATTCTGCTAACGTTACCAAGGAGCTGGTGAAATACCACAAAATTATAGAGGTTCTCCCGCGAGCGTTATCTCCCAAGTCCAGTTCTTGCCATCTAATCCCCTAAAGGCGGAAATCCCTCAACTTTATGCTGTATCTGACCGACAGAAATATCATCAGTTGATAAAGGAGGAATCACTGGGTGACCAGAAGCCCCCAGAACTTCTACGTCGAATGCGTCCTCTCCTTAGAGACATGCAGTTTGATGAAAACCTCGTCAAGGAGATGTTTCTAGAGCATCTGTCTGCATATGTTCAAGTGATTTTGGCGTCCGGGTCGTAAGATCTCACGGTTTCACAGTTGGCTGAAATGGCGGATCAAAAGAGCTGCAGCGGTCCCAGCTGCCCTCCGTTGCGCAGATCTCCACATCCTCGTCGACAGTCAACGAGCAGTGAATGAAGCAGCTGTCGGCCATGGCGGATGAGTTGGCATCCCTTAAACTACAGCTTACACGCTTCATTCCCAGTCTCTCGTATAACCGGCGTTGTTCTCGCTCGCGACCTCGGACTGCCGACACTTATTTGTATCATATCAATTTCGGTGCAAAGTTCCGTCTCTGTTCCTCGTTCTGCTCTTTTAAACCGAAACAGGTAGACCAGTCAGCCAATGGTGTGACCGTTTTCTCTGGTTCCTCCAGCTCTGGTCGCACCTTCTGAGTCCGCGACGGTGTGACTCGCAGACGTTTCCTTGTGGACACCAGGGCCAAAATCAACGTTGTCCTTCCAATTCCAGCCGACCACCGCTGCCCCAACCCTGGTCTTCACCTTAATGCTGCCAACTGTTTCCATTCGCACATTTGGATATCTTTACCTCACTCTAGACATCGGCTTTCGTTGTTCGTTCTCTTGCATCTGTCTGATTGCCGATTTTCCTCATTCAAGCGTCCGCTCGGGCTTTCTAGCCGAACTTGATCTGCACGCTGACTGTTAACTTACCAGATTGCTTGGCCGCACACCTCACCTATATGCTCGTTGGCTGACACCCTTACAACCTCCGGTAACTTATCTGTCCCTCCCGTAAAGGGGAGTTCCACTTCCAGCACCTGACAGTTCGACCGTCGTGCTCTACGATGTCCACCGTGTGCTTCATCGCATGGTGAGGCAGGCGCGGTGACTCGCGCGTGAATTAGTTTTTAGTGAGTGTAGTTCTGCGCAGTATCTACCGCATTCTCTCCCCTTCCTCCTTCCCCATCTGAGTACCTTGTCAAGACATTGTCAAGATGACTGGAGGCAAGGGAGGGCGCACGGTCGAACCCGCACCTAGGTGTACCATTACACCCCTTGGTTCAATCCGGCATTGCCATCTCCGCGATGAGGCGCCATCGTAGGAGCCACAAGGTAAGTGGACCTCCAGGTAGACGAATATTGCTCTACTGCCTTTGCTTTTGCTTGTTCTTGTCTGCTTGTATGTGCTTGCCCTTGTTGAATTTGTCTGCTCGCCGTTTTTATTTCAGCAGTCGGTCAGCTTAGAGAGGGACGGGAGAGCTCTACTTTCTGGCTCTCTACCCTTACCCCATCACTCCTCCCCGCTTCAAAACCTACGGCGATGTCGTAGGCAGGCCCAGGCTAACTTGACCCAGGTTACTTGGTAAATAGCGAAGGACTGTTTAAAATTATGCAGGTTACGGCTGTTCCGAACGATTCACTCAGATGGTGCGTCAGCTCCACAACGACATGATGATGCGAGTCACGGACAATGGAGCTGTCTCAGAGGCATTCTCAGTGACCAACAGAGTGAAGTAGAGCTACGTCCTCGGGCCTACTATCTTCAGTCTCATGTTTACTGCCATGCTAATGGACGCCTACCGTGACAAACGCCCCGGGATCCGCGTCGCCTACAGAACGGACGGTCAACTGCCCAACCATCTACGGATTTGTTTTCAATCGCGCGTCTCCACAACCACCATCAACGAACTTCTGTTCGCCGATGACTGCGCCCTCAATGCAACTGCTTAAAGCCACATGGAAAAGGAGCAGGGATCTCTTCTCCGCCGCCTGCGAAAACTTAGGCCTGATCATCAACAGGGGGAAGACGGTGGTCATGCGCCAACAGCCATCCAACACTGCCCACAATGCACCGTAAATCAGCGTGAACGGAACCCAACTGCAAGTGGTGGACAATTTCACGTATCTGGGCAACACACTCTGTCGCGTGGCCCGCCGGATTTTCAAGGCCAGTCGAGCCTTCGGGCGTCTTCAAAACACAGTTCGGAATGGTCACGGTCTTCATTTCAGCACAAAACTGATAATGCACAAGGCCGTCACCTAGCCGACGTTGCTGTATGGAGCAGAGACCTGGACGATGTACATAAAACAGGCATGTAGACTCAACTCCTTCCACCTCAGTTGTCCTCTTCGAATACTGAAGCTGAAATGGCAGGGCCGGATCCCAGACACGGACGAACTGGGGCGGACGCGAATCGTTAGCATCCACGCTTTGCTGGGACAGTTATAACTACGCTGGAACTGCTACCTCGTACGGATGGACGACGAGAGGCTGCCCAAATGACTCCTATATTGAGATGTTGCCATGGATTCCCGCCGACAAGGAGGCCGAGTCTGTGGATACAAGGACACTCTCCGAGGGCATTCATAAGTCGCTACCTACGCGATCGACACCAGAGAGCTCAAACATCAGCGCGACCGACGATCTGGCATTCTCTGCCATACATCAAGGGCATTTCAGAAGCGACCGAGCCCTTTGCAGTGGACATAGGTGTTGGAATTGCACACCGGCCCAAAGCCACCATGCGCAATAGGGTCATGAAAATCAAAGACCGATTAAAGCCTAAAGAGCAATCTGGAGTAGTATATCGCATACCGTGTCAAAATTGTCCTTGTAACAACACAGGACAGACTAGGCGCATGCTCGGATCGAGCATATACGAACATAAGCTGGCTGTGCGACGAAGCGAGACGTCATCACAAGTGGCTGCCCACACCTACGAAATTGGTCAGGAGTTTAACTTCGCAACCACCAAAATAGTCGCCCATGCCGGAAATAAAACAGGCCGATTATTGATTGAAGCCTGGGCCCCGGACGAGAACTCGGTCAATCGATTTATCGATCTGGCGCCGGCGTACAGAGTCTTGCACAGTCACCTCCAGTCTTGCGCCGTCGGTCGATGATTGGCTTAAATGCCTTAAAACTGTCGCCTGTTCTGTTGCTGCTACTACCTCTGACGAGTCTGAAAGCTCAGGACAATGAACAAAGCGTTTAGGTGCTCGACACTTCTTCATCACTCTGAAGAGCTCCCTGAAGCGTCTGAAGATTAACCCGTCCAGCTGGGAAGACTTACAACGCGACCGAACGATCTGGAGTAGGACAGTGAAGGCAGGCGCAGAGATCTATTAAGCCAACCGCATCATCGTCGCCAGTTCCAAACGCGAGGCTCGCATATCCCATCTGTGTCCACCTCGCAGCGCCAGCGCTCAACCACCCCCGACCTGCCCACGCTGCCAGCGGACGTTCCAGGCACCAATCGGCCTTGCAGGACATCTTCGTGCCAACTGCAGCGCTTAGACTACAGCAGCTGCTGTCTCCTCGTCCAGCTCTGCCTCGTCCCCCCACACCGACAACTAACATTGACGGCACTCACGAAGAAGAAGACACGATCGCTGGGACAAGAGCTTTATTCGCCCGAGGTCTCGGATTCCTGCTCGAACCTATCATCAGAAACAAAAGCTGAAACGAGTGGTTAATGCACAAGGGGCCGCAGTATTTATAGGATGCAGTCACCATGTTACCACATACCTATGAATAGTCACGGCGCTCCCTCTCCCTCCCCTCTCCATCAAGGATCGTTGCACTTGGTGTGATGACTGGTGATCGACATTCGCGCCGTCAATTGTTGCGATTTCATCATGTATATTGGATGTTGGTGTGATGATTGCTCGACCATCTGACCCGCCAACTCTGGCTTTGGGAAGAGTGTTAACCTGTGTGCTCCACGCGTGGCTAACTACTCCGCCTAGGCGAAGTCTCAGTGCCGAATGTGGAAGGAGAAGCTCGTTGCAGTTGTTAATGGACTGGGGGCCTGTGAACTGTGACTCAAACACCTCACGGCCCACACGGTTGTCACCTCTAGCGACAATTTCGGCCTCGTCGAATTTGAACATGTGGCCCGATCTCGTCGAATGAGCCACAACTTGAGAGCTGGCGCCATTTCTCCGCACTGCCGCAGCGTGTTCGGTCATTCTTGCTCGGAGCAACCTTCCGGTTTCTCCGATGTAGTTGCTTTGTCTGCAACTGCACCATATCCGGCAAACGACTCCAGGCGTTTCTTGCCGTGGCAGCGGATCTTTCGGCTTCATTACCAGACGCCTGATGGTTGCCTCCGGTCTATGTACAGCTACAACTCCAAGGGTGCGAGAAGGCGACTGACAGCTTCCGAAACTTCCTTGACATACGGGAGCGCTCGCCAAAATTTGGGGTCTGTGCGGTTTGGCCCTTCGTTCCTTTTGTGTACACACTGGTAGGCATTGGCTGTGAAGACCCGCCGAAGGTATTTTAATTCGGCAATCTTGTCTTCTGGCTAACTGCAGTGCGTTTCGACACGCCGATAGGGCGTCCTTACACAACTGCGTTTGTGACTGATTGGGTGGTTGCTGTTGAAGTTCAGTACTTGCATCGTATTTGTCGCTTTCCTGAACACTTTGGTCTTTAATCCACCACAATCCTTGCGGCATACGAGGCCAGCTGGTTGCTCATTTCCTCCTCCATCGTAAAGTGTATGTCCAGGAAGACCGCATTCAGAGTACCTTGAATGGCAGCAGTTGATCCCGGTCGATAACGACAAAGGTATCATCCACACACCGGGCCCAGTATTTTGGTCTGTCGTGTTGGAAGACCAGTGACTCTAACCGTTGCAGGACCGCCTTGGCGATGAATCCCGAAATCAGCGAACCCATTGGTGTGCCTTTAACCTGTTCGTAGATCGTCCCGTCGAACGTGAAGTACGTCCTAAGCCGGGACTTCAGGAGCTGAAGGACTTGAGCGTGTCCAAGACGATTCTCCGTTTCATCATATTTGCTTTGTTTAAGCAGCTCAATTGTTCCGATCGCCAGGTCCTGGGGAATAGAAAAAAGGGACGTAAAATCAAAAGGTATCATGACCTCATTTGGATGTAGGCTTACCCCCTTGAGTTTCTCCAGGAATCGTGCTGACGAAGAGACCGTGGGGTCTGTCTCAGCGGTCAGAAACTTGAGACGCCGGAACAGGCCGTATCCGCTTGCGTCTCTGATGATGGGTTCAAGCTGGAATCCGAAACATCGGGCGAGTGAAGCAGTTGTCCCACCGATAATGTCTCCTTCTTGACGACAGCATCCTGGGACCCATCTCTTGGCTTCTATTAGCATTGACGGCACTCCCGAACCCCCCACTACCATCCACCTCCTCCATTGTCTCAACATCCTTTACGGCGCTCCTGCAACCACCACCACTGCA